GGAACAGTGAAATCTATAGCCCCTCGGTGATGTGGAGACTTCCCTCGGGCTTTCGCCCCTCAATATTTGTATAATACTGTATTATTATTATTATCCGTCCAAATTGAGACTCCCAACAGTTAGTCCTGTTATAATATATCAACTAATTGGCCAATCAGAACAAGGCAGGGTCAACAATGATAAATTGCTCACAACTTACAAACACGCTTCAGCGAGCACTGTTTATAGTTTTCTCCCAGAGCAATGATTTCCCTGTGGACACCTGTAACAAAAGAGCAATTTTATGTTGTTGTCATGTTTGAGAATTTCTTTGAAGAGTGCAAACAGGTAGTTCTTATAGAGCTGTTCTTATTGAGACCACCTGGAGAGGTGTACAGATCAAGAACTGATTTTACAGTAGAAAGGATATATAGCAAACTTTGTGGAACTCTATGGTAGCTTAAAGTTTCATGATCAAAGTAAGTCTATATTTAGAAACCATTTTAAATGCTATTAGATATGTATCCAGGTATGCAAAGGTGCCTTTGATACCCCTTAGCTGTAGTAAAAATCAGCTTTCATTATGGAACCGCAAAGGCTCTATTAAAAATAGTGAAATAACCCCAATTTATTTAATATCAATATAACATTTGATGTATATCAATATAACAAATATCTTCGAAAAGACGAAAATGAAGTTGAAATTTGTACAGGAGTGGCGATTGTAGTGAAGTGGGGTATTCCTTCTCTAAATCCCGCATCATAAGGTGGCAGAGCTTTTTTGCCTACATGTTTAAAAATTTACTTCGAGCCAGCAAAACACTAAAGAAAACGACTGTTAATTACGTAGGAATATGTTAGTTAATATATTATAACTGCATCCATTTCCACTATCACCACGGAATTATTAGATTACTGTAACAGTCACCCATATTAGCTAACTACAGTATTATACAGCTTTCATATCCTTATTAAATACAGTTGGTCTAATTATTATTAACTAACTATAACACATCTTATGGATGGGAGGATGCAGCAGCATTTCTGGCAAAGATGAAATCATACCTGTCACTGTCGCAAGCACTTCACCAGGAATCAAGATGGTACGGTACATTGTATCAAATGCAAGGTCGTGGGCGACTTCATTTGCATTTTCTTAGTTGCTTAATGCAATGTCCACACACAACCACCTAAACCACATACAAATCTAACCAATCCAATCAAGGGTTGCAGGTGGACGCACATAACATGATACGAACGTGTTCAGACAAGAACAAAATGGATTGACGTCACAACAGTAGTTAGTTTTGGAAATGATCAGCATTAAAATTTGCTATAAAGACCACTATAAAACTTAAGATATGGTGTTCTAAGGTAGCAGAACGTACTTAGTTTATTTAAAAAGGTCACTTTGGTCATGCACTGACCAACAGGGAGCTTTCGATTGGACGGTAGGACGTAGAACGTAATGACGTCACTAAAAGTCATCTGTGCATGCGAGAACGTTAAGGTCACCTCGTCGAGTAGATTCTGGAACGCAATTTGGCCAAATCTACGTATACAGAGAACGTAGGACGCCAGGTAGGACAGTCATGCATGAGTGATTCCGTTTTAGTGTCGCGTCGTCGCACAAATCGATAGCTTCCTACTATGCAAGCTTGCACATAGCACAGATATAGAAAATCTGTTTAATATGGAGTGTGTGTGTAATTTACACACTTTTTTGTGAAATTCCTTGCAGATTATAACCTATGGATTGATTGATTAATTAGATAAAATTTATTAGAATTGTTTCAATGAGTGAAAATATATAACCATCAATAAAACGATAAAAATGCCTAATTGAATTGAATCTATCACTCTCTGATCTCTTATAAAACTAAATTCTAATTATAGTGTATTAGAAGAAAAAAAACCCAAGTTATAAATATAATTACCTCCATGATATAATCATCTATTCCAAAAAAAACCCCATAAACCACCTTTTATTGACCTAATTATATGGGTGACATGCATGTCAGTCTTTTATCACTAAGTATTCAGCAGGATTTTTGAATAGGGGAGCAATATTATGTTGTTTTCCATTGTCATGACCCAACTTTTATGATCTTTGGCTACTAACCAACAACATGATTCACTGAAATTGCCTTCTGATTCAATACATACTTTGACTGAAGTGAAATCGTTAAGTGAGACATTACACTGGATTTGTATTTTATAAATATTTTATCTACCCTTCACAAATCATTATCATTCAGTTACAGATTATTTTAAGATTTTATCAATAATTCAAGTCAGACACAAGTTATTAAATTAGGTATTTGAATGATATTCTTTGCAGAATTGAACCCAGTACCATGGGATAGGAAGTCGAGCACATTAACCACCAAGTCACAATATAAAAGCAAGCATCTCTAATTGGTGAATTGGCATTTTTTTACACAAGGCTATGTATTATTAAACCTTTTTTTTTTTTTTTAACTGAGAACTAGGTTTAAGGCAAGTATCTCAGGCCTAGCTAGGATCTCTTAAGCCCCTTGTACACTGGGACATTATTTACTTAAATTCATTTACACAATTTGGTTAGGATTGGAATAGCAAGTAAGGAAGTTTGACTCATACAAAATGAAGTATATATTTCCTATTTCTATAAATAGTCGGCAGTGGGAACTAAGGCATGGGAACACACTCAGGGTTATTCATATAATAACAACAATAGTAATATAATAATAATAATAATAATAATAATAATAATAATAATAATAATTATAACAATGATGATAATAATGATAATGATAATAAATAACAATTATAAAACGGACTTAATACTAATATAAAAAATATGAACGAACTGAGGGTTATTTGTATAACAATAATAATGATAATTAAATAATAATCATCATCATAATAGTAATAATACTAATAATGATATCAATGATAATACTAATAATATAATAATAATGGCAATAAATAAAAATGATAAAATGGACTTTGCAAAAATATTAATACTAATAAAAAAAAAATTTTATTAGTGTGAAATATAACTTAGGAACTATTTTGCCATTGCTGTCAAGGGCACCAAGTCAAAAATATGAGAAGATCCATCAACTTGAAGCCGATTATCATCAAGCATGTTAAATTTACCAAGTTTCCTACTCAACCATCAAGGCCACAGAAGAGCTAGCGGACATCAATATAAACCCATAGGCTTATATTTGACTAGATATCTGGGGTGGATCCAGGTTTTGGAATAGGGGTTTACTTTTTTTGTAATGCTATCTGGTAATTAAGTAATAGGAAAGGGTTCTGGGACCCTCTGTGATTTTTTTAAAAATTTTTTAGATGGCTTGAAATGGGGTTATCGTGTATTCTAATGTTATAAACTTTATTATTCTATATGGTATAAACATCCTTTTTTTCAAATTGTTAACCTTCTAGTTATTATACTGACGAGGATGTACTTGGATGGGATTTATTTTATATGTTGTTATAACTTCCTTTTGCTTTTTTTGAAGAAATTATTCTTAAGACACAATGATTTTGTTTATCAAAAAGTGCTCTATAGTGAAACTCCAAAAAAAAAAAATATTCTTGATCAAAAAAATGTTCATTAGTATAATAACTTCTATAAATACATTCATATTTTCCATATTAATAATTAACAGACCATTCCATACTTAATAACAATCATTACTTTCAAATCTCTGCATAACAAAAAATTATAAGATGACACTACATTTAACAATTTAATACAACATTAAATTATAAAGTTTATCATCTTATACCGGTAATTAAAAATTTGGTATGTTTCAATTAAAACTGGTACTTATCAGCTTTATCATTAAATATGTGTAATATTGTTTTACCCATATTTATTTGTACAACATATTATTTTGAGGAAAAAAATTAATTAAACCTTCTTATATAACAAGACAAAATATTCCCAAATAGAAAATTAAAAATTTGAATTTATGAAATAAATTCTGTTTATAGATCAGACCTTGAGATACACTCAAAATCACTGCCACGTGTATGTAAAAGTAAACCAAGATTCCATTCCATAAATTATTTCATTTATCATTCAAGATGGCTATTTCACAAAGTGCAGATATAGTTGAATGTTAATTGAGCTTTCATGTCACGTGGTAAATGCTTACCTCTGCAGAGAGCATGTATTGTATGTGAAATTTTCCTTTCTACTATTCAAGAATACATTAAATATGTAATAGGCCTAGATTCAATAGGCGTGCGACAATTGCTTCTTATATATGAGAATACTCGAGTGTTCAAATGATATGGATTCTTTGTTATTTCCATATGCTTCCTTTTTAATTGAATATTATTATCGAAAATATATGTTTAAAATCTAATTATAATCAGCATTCATTTAATGTATGTTATTATATTACTGATCCTCGGTATCAAAATGTTCTCTTTCCTTGAAAATTGTTCCATGTTGGAATTGTATTAGATGATTGGCTTCTACTATTTTTCTGGTGGAGTATGTCCATGAATTGGAATTGACTGGTCAAATAAGATGGTGCGGACCCTGTAAACAATTTTAAATATCATATTTTTCATATCATTTTCTATTCTGTCATGAGTTGTAAGCACATCAAGGCTTTTCTCTGCGGAATGCACTATACAAGAGCGGCATTATTATTATTATTATTATTATTATTATTATTGTTATTATTATTATTATATTTTTACTCTTAATATTATTATTATTATTATTATAATTATTATTATTATTTTAACAGTTTATGCATATTATCATTTATCATTAATAAATAGGAGCCTACAGATAGTCAATTGTCTTCATGGTCCTTAAATATATATTTTTTTTAAATTTATTTTCATATTATTATTTACATTCTATTTATTATTATTATAATTTTTCTATAAATTGTATCCCAAGCAAAGCAAACACATATGAAACAAAGATAAGTTGTAAGGTGTTATCATCCTTTTAAGTATTTTTATTATGAATGTTGACAATAAATAATGTTTATTTGCAGCAAAATAAAATGGCCGATATGGATGTAATAACAGCCAACGGTGGATTAAATAACGGAGGAAATATACAAGGCGAGCTAGTGAATGGCGATCATCCTGCCGTCGAGCAAACAAATGCAAATAATGCCAACGGCCAAATTGATGTGAACGAGAACCTCAACCTAAAGAACCTTCAAATGACGGCGGACTCGGAGCAGCCAGAAATTCAACCAGATATGAAACAGGAATTACCGGGAGATGAGGCTGGGAATGTTGATTCGGAAGCAGACGATGTTCCTAGCTTGCAACCCAATATTCCCAAATCCTCCTCCTATGAGGATGCCTTTGAAGAAGATGTGGCAGTGGTCACAGACACCTACATCGATGACCCAAATGGTGAGTCAACCTTTTAAAATTTGAAGCGTGTCTCAGATCGATTACGATTCTGTATCCTGTGGTGAGGATGATAAGATGCATACGACTTGTTTAGAAATGATAATTACTGACCTCACTCCACCGAATCACTGGCTCTTACATTGATAACACAGCTTCCAGAATAGATTGTATCGCTCTGAAGACACGTTATCAAAATTTAGGATGTCCTAATCATATTAAACGGTTCATAATAAAATCCGTAATGAATGAGTTACAATTGGCAATATCTAATTAAGTCGGACCTTCTGTTACTTGCAATAATAATTTCCAACTATACAATATTTAAAGAATTTTTAGTTTGACATCCAATTTTTAAAAGTTAAATTGTTTAAAAGTAGAAAATAATTTAGGAAAAAAAATCATAATGAATGGTTATTATGATACATCAATTGGTTTGTTATACATATTACTGACTATTATAGTAATTATAAATAATGATAATAATTTACTCGTGTTGTTCTAAAAGCTTTATTCTAATTTAACAATGAATATTAATATATATTAGCATGAACAACATTACTAACATTATTTCAGCTATTATTGACTTTCACTTAATGAGCAAAATATCAACTGGGTGGTGCATCCATGCAAGTTCATTAAATGTAACCCATGAAATACAATATATATCATACACTGTAAGATAGTATGATACATACTCCAAGTATCAAAACGCACACCATCGTGTCGTGATTCAATATTTCAACATTAAGTATGTCATCACGAGAAATGATGTCATCACGATGGCATGCATTTCGATACTTGGAGTATGTATTATACTATCTTATCTGAGATTAATCAGTGGACCTTTCTGTTTTTGGAAAATACACTGTAACATTATGCAAATGTACAGTAGTAATACAATAACTATGCATGATCACAGATCACCAACTACTAAGGTATCAATAACATTTCTGACACAAGCTGAGGGAAGATGATGTTTTAGGGCATGAGTGACCCCTTAGCTAGAAATAGAAGGGGGAGGGGGAATATTTGGAACTAAAACAACTTCTTGTTTAGAGAATACTTCATGGATGAGGGAGGAATATGTAATGTAAGAGCAAACCCTTGTTTTGAAAATAGGAGAACTTTGAAAACAGACCAATCATTCGTTACAGAATAGGGAGTCTTTAAGAATGATAGAGGGAATGTATAGTCCTTAATTCCCTGGTTACAGTTGGTTTACTGAAGTGAACTCAATGGAGGAAAAAAATGAGGTTAACTGTATCCCAACAAAACAGGAATTAGGGCAGGAAAGCTTTTAGTTCAAACTCAGCCAACTTCTGCAAAACACTTCAAACTTTCTCTTTTGGTGACGAAGGTTACTATAACTAGAAAGAAAAAAAAAGAAGAAAAGTACAATATAATATTCCAGTGCATAAGACACTGGTCATTGACATTAGACAGGTTGTCAAATTGAAGTGGTTTGCACTGTACCATGCAGTTAACAATCCTAAAGTGCAAAGAGGATGTCATTTGCTAAACTTAAATGTTTATCCTATTCTACTTGTCCTGCCATACAGTACATAACAAAATGCCAAAATCCAGTTATTTAATATTCCTTCCATGATAATTGTTTTCTTTCTTGGCAACTAGATTTTAAATGGTGTTTAAGATAGTCTGCTATTACAATTGTGTATAAGATACAAGATAAATTTATTGATGGTAAGGTATAAAAAATTAAAACAATTTATATGATTTTATTTACATAAATAAAAAATAATTACATCATAGCATACTTTATATTATTTATATTTTCAGGGTTTTTTTCATTTCTATTTTAAAAATCCAATGGCATAGTTGCAATAACAGGATATTAGTAACTATGATAAAAAATACATGATATATATATAAAACTAGACGAATAGCTGAATATGAAACTAAAAAATAAAGAACAATATAAAATAATGAGAGAACATTGAAATTTCAAGGATTTGCACAGAAATGCAGTTAATAGATGAATGACATAAGTAAGATTAAAATACGCATTTACAAATTTATTGGATATTCGCAAATAAAATATCAGACCAAGTAAAAATTCATACATCATGATGACTACAGCACCTCAGTTTCTGATTAATGAATTTTGTAGAAGGTATTAATGGACTAGGGGATGTATATGCAATGAAAGCGTGCCAACACTAAAATGGTAAACTCGTCACAGACTAATCGCGTTCAGCTGCTACATACAAATTGATCGAAAATTGATTACGTGTGTGAACCTTCTAATGCATATACAGAATTAGACAGAATATAAGAGAAGCACGGTGTTGGAAAGGTTTAATTTTTTACTTTAATTTTTGATAATTACTAATAAAAGAATTTTATGAAAAACACATTATAGTTTAGAAGAGGTTTCAATTACACAGAACTAATGATCAAAAACCTGCCAGACACACACCAATATAACTTGATTATTTATCAATCAGATGTACTCATTAGAAATCATTTCCTACAATTGACTGAGGTTGACGTTGCAGATGTTATTTTACGCTGAAGATATCCGTCTTTGTAATGAGTTACTGGTAATAAACTTGATAAAAAAAATTCAATATTTGATTTTCTTACTATTTAATAAGTTACTAGGCTCGTACAATTGAAAATTTGAACGAAAAAATGTTTTCCTCACTAATTAAAAGACGCATTTAATACAGTTCCTATGTTCTTTGCATGGCTGATAATTAATTTAAGGATTTCAATATTAAAATCTATCAGTTAAAAAAAACATTTTTTCCCCTAATCTGTGTCTCATTGAAAGTTGATGATTTATTTGATAATAAAAAAAATAAGTAATTCAATGTTTATATCCTTAATGTCTCCTTTAATATCTTCCCATTCTTTATGAAACAAATGTATACAGACTATGTATTGTTAATACAGTAATACATGAATGTTACATAATAAAGAAAAGGCAAACTATTGAGGAACATTCACAAATATTTCCTGATATTTTCAGAGGGTAATTCAGTTTAACACCTTTGCTATTACAAATCTAATCATGTGCAAAAAGCAAGCTTGGTCTGTGAAAGAATTCTATTTCAATTCATACATATTTTTTGATAAAAAGAAAGAGTGAAGCTGGACTATCGACTAATGGTTAAAGTGCCTACCTTCCAATCATAGGGTCCTCGGTTCAAATTTTCTAAATTGAAAAATTTCTAATAAAAACAACTCCACTCCCTAACCTTCTGATATGACTACTAGTCTGTCTCTAAAAGACCCCTCTAATTAAAGACCACCTTCAATTAAAGACCACTTTTCTGTGGTTCCAAGTTACCAAATGTCTTATCTTTATTATTCTAATTAGAGATAATGGAACCCCTGGTCCCAGAAGCGGTCTTTAATTGGAGGGAGACCTGCATTATTATTCCATTGCAGTGGAGGATGTATATAGCAATAGTACACATTCAAATATTCAAAAGGAGATATAAGCAGGAGGGAGCATTTATTAAACATAACACAATGCAAATTTCATAAAATTAACACTAATGTACTGATCTTGTACCCTAAAGACAAACAGTGATTCTATATGGGTTGACAGTAACAGAAAGCTATATTTCAACTGATCCTATCAACGATGGTTGGGTGGGATAATAAGTAGAGACTTATACACTCCAGGAAGTAACAGCTAAAACTGCTTGTCACTTTATTTAATGTTCCAAGGTTTTGAAAAGATTGAATGAACATTTGGACAAACTCTTCAAATAAACATGTACAGTATGTACAAAACAAGTTATACCATGATTGATGTATGACGTAATTATTGTATATGAGAGCAGCAGGAGGCGGAAATAGGGGGAGGGGAGGGAAGGGAAGGGAAGGGAGAGAAGGCTAGAGAGAAGGAAAGGGATCTGCCAAGTAGGAAAATAAAGTAAGCTAATAACCTTGACATTGCTGCTCCTTGTAGCTAATTTGCAAAAAATCTTTCTCTATATGAATGCAATTTTATGAAGGACAAATTATATAATATTTTGTTTCAATTCTAAAAATTGTTGTGTATAAATAACTGCTGTATAAATTTTGAAAACAAATTTTAAATTTTTCTGTACAGATTTAATTTCTCATTTATTTTTTTCAGTTCAATTAAGATACCATGTACCAAATATAAATATAAACATTTATGTCATACTGTTTAGTTAAGCATGTACTGTAATAAAAAATATCCAAACATTAATAGAAATATGCCTTTACTACAATGAGTTTGTAGGCTATCAGGGTTCAATGTAGTTTCAATCTAGGTTTCAAAAACAGATTTTATTTGTATGATAATAATGATGCAATATTTAGGCCTTATGTTTTCCCTGACCTGTCCAGATAAAATCAAATCAAATTTTCTTTCAAACTGTCAACAAAACATTCATAACATGTGAATGACAAAATAATCATATTGTAATATTAGGTTGCTCATTTCTTCACATGGAAGTTGAATGGAGAAGGTCAGTGTCCAACTAACTGTGACGTCATCCAGCTCCCAGAGGCCCAAAGCGCTTGAAAAACTTGCATTTATTAATGACGTGACCAGTAATTGTCTCGTGCTTTCTGAAGAAACAATTATTAGAAGGCTCAGCTCCAACTTTTTTAATGAAATGTGATACCAAAGCCAAATATAAGCCTATTTAGATTTAACCCATGTCATTGGTGAGTGGTAGGCTTGTTTGAATTATTATAAAAATCTTTAAAATTTCTAATTACTTGAATAGTCAGAGAAGTATTGACATGTTTACTTTTCATATTTTATGAAAATTTAGAGGTTTTCTATTCTATTAGCAGCCTGGCAGACTGGGAAAGATACATAAGATATAATATTGCAAAATTTAGAATTTTTCAGAAACTGCAGAATACAAAATAATTAAAAACTGTTCACATCTGTGACCCATTGGCTATGCTAACAGAAAAAAATTGTAGTATAAAATATTTTCTTTGTTAATATTTAATTTCAAAATAATTTCACACACAAGAATGATAGCATTAAACTGACATACCAATCTTCAGTAGGCTGTTTCTGTATTAATATCATTCCTATCATATCAGTTTTTGTTATCTTAATTTGAAGAAGACAGCAGGGGATGTTGAGGTTACAAACATGGACCATCCCTGGAAGTTATTAAACCCACTAGTAAAGCTAAACAATTGTTCATGATATGATTATAAATTATGTTTAAAGTATTTTTGAACTGTTTATCATAATTATTATACCGTATATATATCATGACATTCTAAGTACATGATATGACATAAATGTTATGTTTGTAGTTCATTATTAATTAATCTATTCTAATAAATTAAAATAAATAATTTAAGGAGACAACTGTTTAAATAAAAATTCTTAGAAATGCATATATAAATTTTTCTTTTGAAAATTTATTATTTATAATTATTTATTCAGCTTCAGCTACGAGATGGGAATTGTCATTGACATTTTCTTGTTTTCAAAATGAATTTTTAAATAAGTGGACACTTAACATTTAGTTATATTTTTATACTTGTAATTTCATTTGTATAATGACATCTTGGAGCACTTCAAAACAGTAGTTAATGCCATATTAAGTAATCCCGTCAGGTGTTGTCTAGCTTTCTTTACTCGTAAATTGTACTGTACTATCTGTTGTTACGTTGTATTTCTGACAAAGACAAAATAAATTATATGATACATATACGATCAACCAGAAAAATCTTTTTCAATCAATGATGAACCAACACCCTGCCAGATACTTTATCATACATGACATCATTGTCTAATATTTTGCTTTTTGTTTATCTGCTTAATACTATTTTTTGAAGATTGAAGAAAATGTTTTTACGCTTGACTATGAAAATTTTCTCTTTTTCTACTATAATTTGAGATACACTAAAATGGAATTTACATAAAGCACCATAGCTAGTTAAAAAATTAATGGCTTGTAGCTATTTACGAAAATAAACTTCCAAGTATAAAAGAAATCACTATACAGACTGCAGTTACTACTGTAGATGAAGCTTGAATGTCTTTAAAAAGAACCTAGGAATGGGGAGAGGGAAAAGAATCATAACCTAATGAATACTGTTTTACGGTATCTGTATTCTAAATATTGCTCCATAATCCATGCTCATCACTGACACAAAATTACATGTTACTGTCTAGTTTATTTTTTATTACCATGTTTGTTATCAAGAAGAAATTGTTGCAAGAGATTAATCAGAAATGACATAGACAAGAGAGAATTATCTGGCCATAAATTTTGCATGGAATACACATTTGCTTGTAGTTAGTTGTAAAAATGGCAGAAAGTTTATTCAGCGCAGCACTGATTTATGCTTCAAATCAACACTTACTTTATTAGTTCTGCAAACAAATTCAAATGCTCACTGAAACTATGCACTGCATTGTAGAATATTGAGTACTAGAGGAATAAGTGGGAAATGGTCCTTATTTAAAACCAACAAGGAAGTTTGAAGTAGGCCCTTGGGTCCCGTGGCAGTCGCACGGCAACGCCTAACATGGCTGATACACCAGGAGACAATTTCCTACTCTTTCCAAATAGAGTATCGAGTTCTTTTACATGCAAATGTGCTATTATGCACAATGGACCACCAGCTTAATGTCCCATTCAAAGAATGAGGTAATTAGAGCAAAATGTCTTGCCCAAGTTCACTAGCAAATATGACATTGGCAGGTTTGCACTCTTTCGTACCAAAGTATAATCCCTTACAAGTAGCTGATTCAAGCGGATGGGGGAAGCCAGCCCGGGCCCCTCAGACCCGTAACCAGGAGGATTTTGGTTTCGGCCACATCCACATTCTTGAACCATTTACTACTGTAATGGTTTTTTTTATCATAACCATTTTCTATTAAAGAAACACTTCCGAGTTAAACTTGGCCTACAGGAAAAATTCTTCACATGAACTTGTTACGGGACTGACGAAACCCTAAAAATAAAATAAAAAATTGAGAGAAAAAGAAAAATTATTTAAGTCTGAGAGTAGCATATCCGGCCACCTACTGTAGGTGCCATATCCACAAAATGTTGTACTTCAGTCTCAACCATTGTGGGGCTGAGGTAATATAGACCCTCACTGAGCCCCCTATATCTGGAATTCCTGGATCCGCCACTGATTACAATTGTGGCACAACCATATATTTAAAAAAAATTCTTTATGTCTTCCGGAATGCATTTGTTTATGTACATGACAAGAAATATTTAACAGGAGTTGCACACCATATCTAGCTGTAGCTTATTGAAAAACAAGATCATTGTCATTGATATGCTTCAAAATTCTTAGAATTAAATATCCCTAAGGCATCTAATACACTATGCATTTGAAACAGCAACTCATTACTATTTCTGATACATTTGATTCAGATATCCATTTTATGAATTTCTTTACAGTAAAAAAAATATTTTATTTTTATCGTCATGTGCCTAACTCCATAACATTGTCATTTTTTAAAATACTAATGCTTTCATACTCAACGCTTTGGGGCTTTTTCACATTAGGTGCTATAAGAGTATACATATTATTATTAAACATTTGCTTTTCCTACAATAGGCAAAAAGAAAGCACAGAGTAAGTATACCCCCGTGTGTTACAGTTTCTAAATTTGCTGTGATTAGTAGAGCATTATATACAGAATTTTATCACAGTAGAATAGTTTTTATTTAGATTTAGAATTATAAATAGATTTGCTGTTTCAAATTTACTATTTAGATTTGCTGTTTTAGATTTATTTGAAATTGGATTTGGATATCTAACATGTGATAAGAATTGCTGTGTATTAATATGTTGCTAGATTTCTATTATAGAAACATGTGTATATAATATTAAAGATACTATTAGTCAAAATACAGGAAAATACCTAAAAAATGTTTAAAAATAATAATAAAATTATTACCTTCCACCAAGAAACAGATTCCCAAAAAAAGTTTTGTTTTTACCGATTTACAGACATCATACAATTCCTTAAATTGGCTGGTAATCAATTTAAGGATTTTGTAGTGAAATGTCTGTAAATCGATGGAAATAATTGTTTTTATCTGTTTCTTGGTGGGAGCTAATAATTTATTTGATCCTTTTAAATGAGCTATTCAAAATTTAATTTTAATTTTTGATGTATTTTTCTGTCTTTTGTTTTTATTTATCTATCTTTTTCTATCTTGCATATTTCTTCTTCCTGATTAAATATGCAGTATCAGAGCAGGGTTTCAACATCCAATCTCTTGATTGTCTCCATTTCATTCGATTGATAGAATGCTTGAGGCCTTTTTTTTACAATTGTTTTTATCTGTGCCTTTGCCATTTCAATTGCTTTCTATCACTCTATCTGATTCTGGAACATTCTAGAATTGTAGGCTTAGACACTGCAGATTCCCTGTATGTATAATTGTTATATTTGATGATATAACTGGAGCATCTAATATTGTTACATGATGTATTCCATTCTCTAAGTGGATAAAATGCAATTTTCTTTAAATAATAAGACATATTTATTTAATGCTATTTATGGCTTTAAAAATGTTAATCACCAAAATATTATCTTATAGAAGCAAGTGCTCATTAAACTAAGAAAATTATTAATAATTTATTCAATAGAGTAAGAATATAGCTGCAGTATGACCAATTATGTTCCAAACATTATAAATTATCTGTATTCCATGGAATATTTAGCGGATGGATAATGACCCTTGACAGCATATTGAAGCCAATCAATTTGAATTTAACTGAATTTGTATCAAAATCATCAATTTATATGTTTATTTTGAAAGAAAAAAAATAGAAAGAAATAAAGAATGTTCCCCCCCCCCCCAAATATAGCCTACTAGTGTGAATAACTTCATTCATCAAACATGGTCCACAGCTCTTATTTACTACAGCCCATTTTCACTTCACCCACCTTCTTTATAATTATAATGAATGTTACTGTGCAGAATATTTATTTAGACTTGTACACAATCACAGTGTATTTTTCATGTATTCATGATATTTTATTATGACAAAAACCCTAAAAATGTTCAGGACTAGACACACAGGATTAGAAGGCAATCATCTTACCACCAAACCAGATTCAGCCCTAAAATAGCTCTGCATACTAAAGTTTCTAGTTTTATTATATTACCATTATCATTTAATTATCATTATTATTTTATTATTATAAATTATGGAGATGTATAAAATACCACCAACTATGGAATACAAAATCTTTATGCACTGCTAATAAGATTCTGTAATATTCCAATAGAAATCACAAAAACACAAACAATTGATATAAATACAGACGATATCAATGATACAGTACTTTAAAGTAGTCCTACTTTGTTATCTACAACTTGATAAAAAACTCCTGTGACAATAAAAACTACACTGAAAACACACAATTGGTGCAGACAAATTAGAGATCACCATAATAATTTAAAGGGATTATGTGGTCCTAATTCATTACTCAAGGGACTTGTGGTCTTTATTCAAACCACAAAATGGATGGGTTGTAGCAGCATATACTCAAAATATACCTGTATACGTTTTTAATAATAAATAATTTAATTATACTTTTACTACGGTTTTTAAATTAATTCAACTATTATTAAGGATGGGAGAATAAAACTGCACTTTCATAAGCATGGTAGGGGTGAGGTAAACATTTTGTATAAAGCAAACCAAAAAGTCCTTCGTGCAAGAATGGTTGGGGTTGTGGAAAGGATAAAATTGCATCATAATACAGTGTGAATAGAGAATAAACACTGTATCAGTAAATTAGGCATACCTCCTTTGTATCAGACCTGCTAGAATGATGGGAGTGGGGCAATACAAACCCGGCAAAAGTTGGGGGTAGGGGATGGACATCATAATGAAAACTGCTAGTATTATACATGAAAGGAAATACCATTGCCCTAATAGACATTGTATCTCATCAGATGTTTGCTTGTTAAAATTAATCATATAGTGTAAAAGTCACTCAGCAGGGGGTCATGACATTAACAGGCTCCTTGACATTTCAAAATGTCTGACAAATTACGATATACTCAGCACCATGTGCTGATTCCAATCAAAACATGTGCATTAAACAACAATAATGATAATATAGAGGTAGTAATGGAAATAACAGTATAATATCTGAGTATTGATAAACTATATTTTAATTTAAAAATACTATATAATTATTATTAAGTAATTATTATTATTATTATTTTGGAAGCTGAGAAGTTATTTTGCAATGACCCCCCTTAATTTGTTTTAATTATATGTTTCATTGTACAGTACAGCATGTATATCTCATCATCATTATAATGTATTAATAAGAGACTCAAATTATGAAATACAAAACATGAAGGTACATATTTTGGTCACAGCTATTCAAAAATTTTAATAATTATGGTTTTAAAATGCTAGAAACATTATATACTTGATTGTAGCATAAAACTGCGTTTAGTATTTTTGCAATAAAGTAGATAATTTCCGTTTACTTTAAATTGACTATTTTTTCCAATATTCAAATATTTTTATTATATAAATACATAAATATTAATACATATAGTGTAATATTTCTAGTAGATTGTAACATTCCAGATTCCAGTAGGTTGTAACATTGGACATTATATTTATATATGTCAGCTTAAGGTACTATTTTATTATTGTTTTTAAATATAGCAAATCAAAATTAAAATACATAGGTGAAACATTCAGTAACTTTGGAACAAGGATACTCAACACAGAAAATAGTACCATACAATTTATAATATCACAGAAAACATCACAAATCAAAATATTAACCCCCAAAAATGAGTAATAAAAGAAAAAAAATTATATTCATTAATTGGTTCACTTATTCCTTATTTTAGTGATTTGTATTTGAACCATGATAAACAACATACATAATATATGGATGCACAGTTGATTTTGATCTATACGTGCTCGCTAACACTTATGATGTTGTTTATGTACGCATGAATGTAGCATCTAGATGCAGCTGACCTTCAATTTACATCATTTGACTAAATCCCTAACATAATTCAGAGCTTGAGAGGCACTATAGAATAGAAAAAAATAACACTAATAATACTTTTTCAACATTGAATACTCAGTTTTGATTTATATAGTGAACCAGTGGCGGCCCTAGGATATATTTTCTGGGGGCTAAGCTGTCCAACAGGGGGACTTTGGCTCTTAGGCCCAAGCTGGGGGTAGGATTTGAGAGGGTTTTCCCCCTCCCAAATGAGATTTTTTTAAAGAATAGGAACCTCTGGGTGGCCAGAAATGACACTCCCTGATTGTGACAGACATGTGTTGCCTTGGCATGGGCCTATTTTTATATACTGTATTTTTTAGTCTAACTGCCTGACGAGCTCTGTCGAAGGGGGGGGGGGGGGCTTGATCTGTCCGGTCCGGCTTTAGCCCCCCCCCCCCCCCCCG